CCACACAAAGCTAGGGTGGACCACTGTCTGATGAGTGTAAACAGAGGGGGGGGGGGGAGGGTTGGGCGTGGGTCCACCTTATCCTGCTGACCCAGTCCAGCACACCCAAAACCTCCCTCTGCTCACTGATAAGACTGATGCTGCATGTCATGGCATCACAGCAGCAGGCAGACCGGGGCCAAGGTCCACTGTTGGCAAACAGGTTGTGAATGGTTTCAAGTGTCTTGAGATAAAAGATAACAGCTTCAGAGCAGGATCTCCTTATCTGGAGCATATATACAGCGTGAGACCGTAAAATAAAATGGCTCAGTTTCATCTTCGACACAAAAGTTGGAACAGCCCGGAGGATACACAATTAACCTCCACCTTTTTCCTTCCTAGAAATGATATGAAGTTTTATCTGACCCAGAGTAAGGACGTGATTAACGCATGAGAAAAACAAAGGGAGGAAAGCAGGAAAACTGGAATCTCCCTTTTTAAAAAGGAAGCCGTTAAGGGCAAAGAAATCTCCCATTAACAACATATTAGTCAAATACTAGTCATTTCACCTGAGACAATTTTGAATTTGTGTTTTTTTTCATTTGTGCTTTGATGCAGTTTTCAGGTACTTTGAATGTGTAAGAAACAGAAAAGAAGCTGCATACTTATTGGCCTTTCGTGACATTATTCTTGGAAGAAACTAAAACAAATTACTGCATTTAAAAAAAAAAAAAAAAGTACTGTAAGCAAGCAAAGAGAGTGACTGAGAGAATCAGTAGCCAGTCAGCTGTACTCTGCGAGTACCAGATGGACAGTGTGTGCTTTTCTATTGTATTCATCCCTCAGTAATTAGGCCTCTCATATGAAAATTTTGACCACACTCCAACCGTTCCACTTTAATCACCGTCCATCTTCCCACTGAGCCACACACAGATACATGTGTGGAAGCAGATAAAAGCAGTAAGTGGTCTATAGCAGAGAGAGAGATAAAGAGAGAGAGAGAGAGGGAGAGAGGGAGAGAGGGAGAGAGAGAGAGAGACCCCCCTCTGTTTTTCTGTTGTTTTTTTTGTTTTTTTATCTCTAGTCTAAACTGTCCCGCCTTCTCTTCTCTAGGCCTCTCTTCCTCCCTCCCTTTGTCCTACTAACATCCATCTCATCCCGTCCTCACTTCACTTCATCCTACTGATATCGCCCTCATCTTCCTCCCGTCCCTCACTCCCTCCTCCTGACCCTCACTTCACACCCCCACAGGGAGAAGGCTGCCGGCAATTCAGACACAACACGAGGGGAAAAAATCTCTCTCTTCTGATGCTGATGAAATACAGTCTTCCACTCAGTGGTGATAAAACTGACATACAGTGTGTGTGTGTGTGTGTGTGTAGCTGCCTGTGGAAATCAATGAAGCAACTTTTATCATGTTACCTAAAAAATGTATGAGCACTGCTGTGAGCCCTGCACGACCATATAAGGCAAACAAAGACCTTAAACCAGCAACTGTACTCTTTATGTAATTAATGTGCTAATTGTATTGTATGAAAGAAATTCAGGACTAAATGTAACCATTAGTATTTACTGAAGAATGACGCCAAGCCGATGTCATTACTGCAGCCTCACTTTATAGAAATCAGCTTAATGCAGGTGTTTTGGTCCTGGAGCCTGACAGAGCCAAACATGGAGATTTCTGTTTTTCTATAGTCAGTTCTACAATATGGGCGACAAGCGACATCTAGTGGTCACATTGAGAGATACAAGACTGAGTGCTGACAATAGTTTGAAGCATCTCAGAGGAAACAATGCTACTGCACAAACTGTTTTAGAAATATATATTAACATAAAACTGAATTCAGACAGGACTGTGAAGAGATACTTCAGTGGCGAACATTTTTCACTTCAAGTATTTTAAAGTGCATTTATCCTTTAACACGGCCGAACACCTGATTTAAAGAAAATACACATTTAGTGCACTTTAAAGTAAAATCATTCAGCTCAGCTCTCAAATGTGAATACAGCTGTCTTTCAGTTATGCAGTGTACTTGTGACTGTTTTCAAAAAAGTTTTGTTTCCACTCACTGCATCGAACTGCAGAAAGAAGTCATCTGGTTTGTCTTCGACTCTGTCTGTGTCGGCATGAACCTCAACCATCGGGTTGAGGTTCTGTGCGCGCTCCAGAGAGGCCTGGGCCCGATTCTGACCCTGAGCCGTCACTGGAACCAGGAATTGAGCTCGGCATGACTCCTCTGACACCTGGTGGACACACAAATAGGGAATGCATAGCAGGGTGAGGATTGTGTTGTACTTGGTAAGAGTTTCCCTAAAGGCCCTCACTCTCATGCAGCTTAAGGCTCTGTCTGGATGTGATTTAGCTGAAGATAATTTACACTGTGTATCCAGTGGACATTTACCTCCACTGGAGATTCTGTGTTTCCATTTGAAAAAAAAAAAAAGGTTTTTCAAATATTCATCAATTATTTAATTACACAAGACCACATAGAGCAAACACATCCATACTATTGATTAATATTGTCTTTAAAACTATATGAGGCCACAATTAAGCTGCTGTTGCAACATTATCACAATAAAAATAGCTGGTTTCTTTCACCACTGAGAAGTGAAAATCATTGAAGGCTATTACTTTACCACATGCACTGTCTACTGGGCATGCATAACACTGCAAAGGCTTCAGCTGCCTCATAACGGCCATCTACCACTCCATTATTTTTATAGATATTTAGTTGATTGCTGAAAACAAACATTTCTAAATTTAAACTGAAGCACAAATTCTCACTGTAGGTGACAGTGTGCTCTGATGATGAAGGGGCACCTGACTATACTGTAAAGTATGTGTACCTGTTCATGATCCAGCAAAGTGAGTCCTTTAACCCCAGCCAGGATTAGGTTTTTGGCTACTTCAGCCCCAAGACCACCTAAACCTGCCAAGAGAACACGGGATCCTCGTAACCTGTAAAAAATAAAATAAAATAAAGCGCACATGCAGATGACATGTCTGGGGACTGCTCACTGTATGCTGTGTAATGTGATCTTGTGCTGTGTGGATTGTTAAGCAGCAACATACTGGCAGACCAAAACTAACTACGATTAAAAGCGACAGTAAAATCAGAGTTTAAGGGGTTTGTGCATTTCATTGGCATGTGGAGTATTACAAGTGTCCTGTGACGTTTACTTTACGGCCTCTTTACTAGCCTCTTTGTCATTTAGCTCAAGTTTGTAGACAATGCAAAAACAATGCAAATGTAGACAATGCAAAAACCAAGATCTATGCAAGTATTGATATAGATAATCACATGGAAGCTCTCCACACTACAAAATCCAATAATTATTAAATCACATCTGCCCGCGGATTAAAACGTTAAATCAGACACAGACACTGGTCAAAACCGGTGCAGCAAGAGTGCGACAAGTGAAACCTTCCGCTGCACTGATTAGCCTGGTGAGCTAACTAAGCTAACTGACCTCTTCTGGGCATCAAGCCCCCATAGTCGAATCTGGCGGTCGTACTGTGCCGCCTCTTCCTCGCTGATGACCGGGTCCTCCTTCTCGATCATATCGATCATTTCAGTTCACTCTAAAGGCGGTAATTTCGGCGTAAAGTGACAGTATTTTGCAGCTTGAGATGTAGATGTTTCAAATGCCGCGACAGTCCCGCTGAATGGGCGCTGGATGATGACGTCAACAGAACAAAACAAAAGATGTGTTTTCGAATTCTAAATACAATTTCAAACATTTCAAAATAATCGCTGCTAATTTGTGGTTATTTTCCTTTGGTTTTTCTGTTTATTTGTTGGGGTAATTTGTCCTTGATTTTGCATCTAGAATGTATTTGTTATCGTGTTTTCTTTTTTGTTTGTAGTGTCTGTAAATAAAAAGTAACGAAATAATTTTTCGCTGTTGCTGGCTGTGTCGGCCATTAAGCTCGTCAGTGTTACTTAAAAATCATGAGTATAAACGTTTAGCTTGTGTTCGACATTTTTACCTTTATAAGACAACGTTGGGGGCTGCACTTGTGTAAATTTTCCCCTGGTTTTGGTCTTTTACGAACTATTTCACAGCCATTTTTGTGATACTTGATCTAGCACAGATACAGCTAAATGAGCAATTCAAGGAATTTGAGGGGAAATAAAGTTAGTTTTGGGACTCCCAGCTATTTTACACAAGTCCTACCTATGGTAGCAGTGGGAGACTCCTTTATAAGTACAGATTGCAATTACAGCATATTATACGACAGGTACTACCGAAGTCCCATAAGCAAAGCCTTTTGGGTAATATAGTGACGAAATTTAATGTTGGTGCTTGTGCCCAGTTTTATATTCCTATTGTGAGACTGAGGGCAACAGTTAGGATCCAGGATCACTATGTGTGTCACTTAGTTTGTAGTCATTGGAGCAGGTGCAAAATGAAGTGAATAATGCACATTCAAAACATAATATGAAATAAGAAGAGCATCACATTTTTACCCAATTTTGAGACAACATGTTGTAAAGGGGGGCTGTGTGTTATTTTTCGGCAGATTTTGTGTATATTCTAAAAGAAATTTGTATTGAACCAATTTTGGAGAATCTAGACACAACAAACATCTACATATTGTATTTCAGCATAGCCCCTTCGTCCTGGATGTCTAGCCTGACCAAAACATTGCTCTGTATTGCTGAATTTGCTCAGTCAACCTGTTATTGCGTACAGATTACCACACACCCAACAACATTTTATTTGATCAACAATCTAGGGTGCTTAAGATGCTAAGACTCTCTGATTTGACGGGTGGGTTTTATATGAAATTCATGCCTAATTAAGCTGCACTTATTTAAACGCTCTGTAATCATTATGATCTGAAAGTGCACCTGTGAGTCAAACTAGGGGGCTGATTTAACCCTGACGATTTCACATTCGGTAATTTCCGTGAGACGCGTACGTTTATTCGTCATGATGTCATTCTCGGCGAAACCCGCCCCCTTTCTCTTTGGAGAAGACAGTCGGCCATTTTAGGTTCATCAGTCGTCATTTCACATCGCTACAGTAGGACGGAGAACGTCAGGACTCAATTTCATCATATTGCTATTCCAACTGTAGTGGAGAATTGCCTACTATGAACTGAAACTCTTCCTAAAATCAAAAACAAGTAGATCCTAGTGAAGTGACGCATAAGCCAGTAGATTCCAGTGTCGAGTTGTAATTTTTTGCACCTCAATGTAGCTAGAGGAAATGGCTGTGGAAAGCATGACTGTCCATCCAAACTCCCCAACTACCAACCACGAACACAACAGTCTCCTGACTGACGAAAGGTCGAGTAATTCTACAATCATATTTAAATGAAATTATTTATTTGTCCTGTGCTTTTACACAAAAAGCCGGGGTTTCTTTTTCTTTTTTCTGTCAAAGGGATTAAATTCGCCTTTTCTGGAAAACGAGTACAGAGGTAAAGAACGCCATGTTTACACGACAACGCCAACTGGGAGGCCATATAGCACCTGGGATAACGTTATTCCCTTTATTTTATTACGTTATCACAATCAACGGTCAATCGACTCGAGTCAGCTTGTCTTAAGAAAAAAAGACGAGATCGAAACAGCTGATCAATTATACTTTCACCGCCATACTCGCCAATTCAACGGTTATAAAGCATCGGTTAATTACTTGCCCATTTTTAACATCTGTTAACTCACTAATTAACGTTGATTCAATCGTGTGTGTGTGTGTGTGGTGACAATTACTGTAATGCCGCAGGTGCAACAAATTCAAGCGATTGTCTTTTGCTAACTACGGGCCTGTTTTCAGGCTAACTTAGCAAAATTAGCACGTTGGCTAATGTTACCAACGAATGCAGTTGGCAAGAGAGCGGAAGGCTAAGCTAATGGCTAATGGTTTCGTTAATGATAATTTACTATTCTTTGGCGGTTCCACTCGCTGCATCGCTATATGAAACACAGCGTTTAATAACGTTGTAAGGGCCATTACATTCTATCGTAATCCTTCATATCGGTTTGTTCATTTGTCTTAAACGTATCACTAACACGAAGCAACTTGGTCTACGCACTTAAAAATTGTGCTCGACTCGCTGCCGTTCTACCTGAATAACACTCACAGGAAAACGTATTTTGCCCCTGAACACCTCTCGGTGATTGGGGTTTCTTTTCCTCAAGTCTTAAATGTTACCTATCTTTAAAATATTGACTTGTGAAAGGTGAAGCCTGTTAACTTACATAAGCTAACCTTTTAAACGCGTTTGTGCTTGTCATGTGTATTTGTCTAACATATCACTTTTATTCACAGTCGTGCCCACACTGACTCGTCCCAAACATCCACATAAGTCCCCAAAATGTGTAAAACGTCTGCAAAGCATCCCAGAAGTGTTTCAAGTCAAACACAAAGTTCCCTTTTTCCACAGTCCCCAGTTGGCAAATTTGCTGTGTTACCCAGTTGGCCCCATTTCCAAGTCCCACAAACCCCACTAGTGTCCCTAAAAGGCTAGGGAAAAACTTTCAATGGTTTTGAGTGCAAAATGTGAAGAAAACCTGTCACAGTAAGTATTCCCCATTTTAATCATGGCCCTTTGCTTATAGAATTAATTAAGTTATGGACTCCACTGAGCTAATAATGTACCATAATGCATGGTAAATCCTTTGATTCAGTCATCCTTAATAGATGAGAATAATCTTGTGCTCTGTTGAACTTTCAGAACTTCTCACAGTTGTCTGCTGGTGTGGTGTGTTCAGAGCTTTCACAGTTTGGGTTTTAATGGATTTAAATGGAAACTTGTTTAGAATAGTTTACATGGATGACAGACACTGCACAGCAGGCCTTTACTGCATTTAGTGGTCAGCAGTACATTGATACTTGTGTAGGGTCCAATCAATAACTCGTTAAGTAAATAACATTTTTTCCTCTCCTCAGGTCTGTTAAGCCTAAATTGGTGCTGGTAGACTTATATTAACTAAAGTTCACACTGACCTGACTTGTTAATTTCTTGTCTGAGCATAGAGCAGTCTGGAGGGGATGAGTTAGTCTGCAGTTTAAATTATTCTCCACACTGGCACATTGTTGGCAGCAGCTTATGTGTGTATAGTATCTTTTTAGGCCAGAGAGGCCATCAGCTTCTGCCCATAGTGAAGCCCAGCCACTCCCTATTCACAACAACCTGCTTCCATAATACAGCCAAATCCCTGTGCTATGATAGACACTGTGTCAGGAGAGTTTTCCTTGTGCCGGCTCTGACAGGTTTTGATTAACAGGCCAGCTCAGTATCACATGCCAATAGTGAGATAGAGGAGTGACTTGGCTGTTGAGGCGATACTCCAGAGTTTGTGGTGTTTGGATTGAAAGCCGGCAGCTGGTGCAGAGCAAAGAACCTGTCAGAGTTTAGCAAAGTGCTTGAGGCAGGGAGATAAAAAAAAAAACAAACTGACAAACAGTTTCAGTGTTCAGATGTTTTGAGGAAGAACACATTAAGGTGGTTGGTATCTGATATCGAGCTTTTGTGTTGAGTAATTATTGTCAAACATTGCTTAATCTGCATATATTCATACTTTCAGAGTTACTTTGCATAGAATGACAGAGGTTTTGGATTTCACTTTGGCTTTTGTACCAGGGCAAAATCAAATGGGCATGAAGACAGATTTTATTGTTTGTTCTGGATTGTGTTCTGCAACAAACGGCAGATAACAGGATTTTGTACATGGAGCAACTTCAGGCTTTATACGAGGGGGCTGTTCTAAGAAAACAGGTTAACTAAATTATCTGGTTAATTAACCAGAACTTACTTGTTTAAGCAGGTTCCTGATAGTTTCATTCTACGTAGTGGTTTCAGATGAAGAAAAAAAAATGTATGTTAACATTTGATATGACTTGAATATGATGATTTCACCAAGTTTGTAAAACAGTTGTGTACTCGCCATCACTTTTCATTTTTGTCATCCACTGATGAAACAGGCTCATGACTAGCATTCTCTGGTGGATTTGTTTTCTGAGTTGATGTGGAGATGTTCGTGGCTCTGCTGCTGAGCATTTAGTTTGTAACACAGAGATAAAGCCAGATTATTAAGGCTGATTATTGTGCTCTCACCAGAGGAAGCTCGTATGCTGAGGATGTGGTGCGGTGCAGTGAACCCATAGGGTGCAGCTGACATTTTGCCTGAAAGCAGGTCGACTGCACCAACCACCTGCTTTGTCTCAGTTCACTGTGTGCTCGATGTGGGACAAAACCTGTCTTTGAGGAATTAAATATTGTACTGCAGTTGTCTTGTCGATGAATCAGATCAGCCTGACCTCAGGCCTCACTACCAGCCTGCTGCAGTCAGTGCTTGACAGCCTACTGTGGGTGTGGGCCTTTGTGGGAGAGCCAGGACATACTCACTCAAATAGGGAGTGATTAATACTTTGTCTCTTCAGTGTCACTAACATTTGACCCCTACCCCAGCCTGTGCCATAAATCATGCCACGTCCTTGCCAGTGAGAATGGCAGACAAAACAATGTCCAGTCTGCCCTTGGCAAGAATATTTCTGCTCAGTAGCTGGTTTTGGTTTTGTTCTTTGATAAAACTGGCTCCACTTCTCACCTTTTCCCTCTCACCTTTTGGTGCCATGGTGGCCTGAAAGGAAGTAAAACACAATACTTGTTTATAATAAACCCAGTAACTTTATTAGCATGAATGTAAAATCCATTAGTGCTTTTGGAACTTGGATTAATAAGATTTGTAACATTTTCCCAAAACTGCATGATTACTTTTAGTAGTCTACAGCGAACATTTACATTTCTTTTAATCTTTTTAAAACCTCACTCTCCTTTTAACTTATCCTCACTCTATGTTGCCTGCTCTATAAGAAGAACAAAAAATATAAGACAGCTTGTGTGGCTGATGACACTGAGAGGCAGTGGTGTCGGCTACACTGAAGTTACAGTATAAAAAAACCACACTGCAGTGGAGCTTGTGTTTTTGTCTGTTCTGCTGATTTGGATGTTTGTGTGTTAGTAAGTTAATATATCCCAGTGTTTGCAGAAAGTGCTTTTTAGTCATGCTTGACATTTCAGTGCTGACTCCTCCTGGGTTACATGATGAGCAGTCAGTTTTTGGAGATTAATTGCCTCACTGTAGGTAATTTTTATATACACTCTCTGCATATGTCAAGTATTGGCATCTGTGCAATTTTTTTTTTCACCTGTAGTTTAAACAGGCAAGCGTCTGTGAGAGATACAGGCACTGTGTAAATACACCTGGCAGAATCACAGACACACCAAAAAATACAATCTTTCTGCAATCCTTCTGTTTCCACCTGACATGAATCACCATTCAGGCACAGTTGTTGAAATCACACCGACATTTGTCCGTCCCGCAGTGTCAGGTGTTCTCAATACATGGCTCTGTGGTGGTGTTTAGTGTCAGAAATGTTCATGACAGAAAGCAATGAGTGCTACAGGGATACAACTCCATTATTCCAAGTGGGGCTCAAATTTTATTAATCACAGATTGCCATTAATCTATGTTCTTTTTTTCTTTTTTTTTTTACTACAAAAGTTATAAACTATTACTTCACCTTAGTGTTGTTAGTGCCATTATAGTGCTGCCAACCTGAATGATGTGTTGCATCTTGAATAATATCCCAGGGATCCACTCAGCTGTTAAATGCTGAGATGTTACTTGAAACTTAAGAAAACATATTTATACATTTCTAAATCCTTGTTTGAATCACAAAATGGCAGAACCTGATAGTAATGCTGCGTAAATGAATCCCCCTTAAACGACTTAATATCTAATTTTAGTCAACTTAACCAAGCCTCTGTACTTGTTTTCCTACTGATTTAACTGTGACCACTGAAAACAAACTAGTTCTAATGGTTTTCAATTTTTTAAAAACCATTTTATCAAACATGAATCATTTTAAATATATGTCCAAAAACTTCAGATGTGGCTGGTGTAGTGAGCCGCTGCCCCTGAGAATATGAGATGTATGAACCTACATTCTGTCCATACACAGGCCAGAGGATGGAGAGCTGGAGGAAGGCGAGCTGGAAGATGATGGGGGAGAAGTGGAGGAGGAGGAGATGGGTGGAGGTGCGTCTGCAGCAGGAGGAGGCGGAGATGGGGGCGACGAAGCAGGCGGAGGAGGTGAGGCAGGAGGTGAAGGGGCCGGAGAGCGTCCTCAGCGAAGTCGGGAGCGCCACGCCAGCAGTGATTCTGACGACGAGAGATCACACCGCCGGAAGAGGAAGAGGAAGAAAGACAGGGAGCGAGAACGGGAGAAGAGGAGGGCCAAGAAGAAACGCAAATCCAAACACAAAGTGAGAATGAAGACAACTACAGAACTGAAAAAGACCCACCCACCTCTCTACACCGCTCTGTCTTTATTTAAAGTATTTGAACTTTTGTCTCTTACATCTCTTTCTCTGTGCATCTCTGCTTTTCGCTCTTTCTCCTCCAGCGTCATGCGTCCTCTGATGACGACCACTCAGACTTCAGTGATGACTCTGACTACAGTCCCAGTGAGAAGAGGAAGTATAGAGAGTACAGTCCTCAGTACCCCCCTGCTGTAAGTCTATAGAGTGAGCTTACATTGAAATATTGACAAGTTTATCTAGATCAAATGTAAAGAATTTCAGTACTCTAATCTACTAATATGTTTACCCATCTCTAGTCTCATGGAGGCTACGGCGGCTCAAAGAAGGGCAGCTACATGAAGATGGACAAGCAGGGCTATGGAGGCTACGATGACTATGAGGAAGACAACTATGAGGGAGAGGAAGACGAGGACATGGGGGATGAAGACTATGACGACTTCACCAAGGAGCTCAACCAGTACCGCAAGGCCAAGGAGGGAGGAGGAGGCCGCGGTGGACGAGGTGCGTCCACGGCCGTTTGGTTAAAACTGTTGAAATTGAAAATTAGACTTGATGTGCCACAGATTATGCTGTATGCTAAATATTTGCCCAGCTGTGTATTTAGTCTCAGTGAGTTCTGAGACTAAATACAGTGGATAAAATGCCTAACCTGGGATACACCAGACAACAGAAAGATATCTAAGGCCAGGTGTTGTGGAAAGGTCCTCTGTCTTGGTGTGAAAATGTGAATTTATTTATACTTTAGAAGTGTTTCCTATTAAAAAAGTTTTCACTGACCTTTTAGGATAGTTGTGCCTCTATGTGACAATTGCTTAGAAGAATATGCATCACCCTGTACTTGCAGTCAGACAATGGAGCCTATGTGCAAAAACTTTCTTATCAATCTGAATCCTGTAGCTGCGTCACTGACAGTCTCTCATACCTCCGTAGCTTACTCTCTTTCTCTGTGCGTCTCCGCAGGGGGCAGAGGTCGCATGAAAAGCCAGAGAGGCCGTGGAGGAATGAGGGGAGGGAGGAGGGGTCGAGGAGGCAGAGGAAGAGGTGGACGAGGTGGAGGAGTAAAGATGGGAGGAGACAATGACGATGGCGATGGATATGGAGACGACATGGAGGTGAGGTTTAGAACTCAAAATGAAGCCTGTTGTGTATTTGCTTTGGTGAAAATCCAGGGAACAAGTTCTCATTCTGTTTGATTTGCTGTGTTTTGCGTATTTACACAATGGTTGAAATATATTTCACATGGAAGCATTCCAGTAAACAAACACCAACACTGACAAATCAAACCTGTTGGTGGTCTTCATAGGAAAATGGATTATTTTCCTATTAATGGAATAATGCTCTGTTTTCATTTCCCAAAACAAACCAAACTAAGAATACTAATTATTTCTTTCTTAGACAAATTATTGATTTAAATAACTTTGTACACTCCACTGTCAAGCAGCCAGCTACACTCCAGCCACCATCACTCGGACCGTTTGTCTTGCTTAACAGATATTTGGAATAAGCGGCTTCACGTCTTGTTCCAATCTGATGCTGCAGTAATCATTTGAGAAGAGTTGACTGAGGCTCTGGTCAGATCTGGCATTAACATGTCACCAGTGACCACTTGTGATCAGATCTCATTTCCCCGCTCTATATGCAAATGAACAGGTGTGCATAGTTGTTTTTAGACAGTCTGACTATGGCAAGAGAGAGAGAGAGAGAGAGAGAGAGATGCAGTGCAAGCGCAGGTTGAGCGAATCATTGTACTGCTCACAGCTCTACGGTGAAATAAAGTTTTAGCAAACAGTAAAATATTTTCAGTTTATCATTATGAAACTGTGTTGGCACTAATGACACTGTCTCAGAGGACATCAGTAGAGCAGTTGGTCCGTCACTGTGGCCCAGGACACATTTACATTCACACTGCTGAAAGAATGTGGACACACGTGGACCTCTGAATGAGGTCTGAGTGATCAGATCTAAAATGTGTGTTGCGTGGTGCGTTCACACCTGAAATCAGAGCTGTCCACTTGTGATGGGATGTTAACACCAGGTCTGAACAGGGCCTAATTGACACTCATTAAGTGACACATGCTAAATCTGTCTTTGCAGTATGTAGAGGACGATTATGACAACATGGGGGATGATGACTACGACGACTACTCAAAAGAACTCAATCAGTACAAGAAGTGCAAAGACAGAGGCAGAGGTGAGTTCAGACCTCAGGGGGTTGTCTGTGATTTTTCATCTCTGTCTCTCTTGGAGAAATGGCTCCTTCTCTTCCAGAGGAAGCAAGCTGTGATAGTGATGCACAGGGTAACCTGTGGACAACACTGATCGCTGACATGTGTCTTCATGTCACACCTGTGTCTGACAGTGCTGACTATCTGTCTTTAATTTCTGCCCCAGGAGGTAAAGGAGGCCGCGGGCGAGGCAGAGGTAAAGGAGGGCGGGGTATGATCAGAGGAGGAAAGGGTCGAAACAGAGGGAGAGGAAGAGGTGACATGGGAAATGATGATGACAACAACGGAGACATGGACAATGGGGTAAGGCTTTTGTAGTTATTAAATCAGTCTGAAGTGAGCCTGATACTGAGTCTGAAACAAATCTGATGCTTCAAAGTAGATCAATACAAATGTGTGTGTGTGTTGGTTTGTGTTTGTGTATTTTAGGATGGAGGTGATGGACCAGGACTAGGGAGGAGGAATCAGAATGAAAAACATCAGGATAAGAAAGGAAAGGCCATCTGCAAGTACTACATCGAGGGGAGATGCACCTGGGTAAGATGCCATGAATGTTTGCTGATGTGTTTGTTGAACGAGTCACAGTTTGGACTGAATAACATGGGATGTTTTGTGATATTAAAGCTGTCTTCATTCAAATGATATTTTTCAATTTTTTAAATATATTTCAGTATTTCAGTTGCTTTTCCTACGTGCCCACATTCAATAGAAATTCACAGTGAAGTTGTAGTTTTCTTTGTTTTCATAATTAAAAGTTTTTGATGCCACAAATATGATACAGATTCCTGTAAATGGCTGGATTCTGAGGTTGTTTGTAACCCAGTTTTAGTCAGCAGGAACTAGCCTGGTTAAAGATCATGAATGGGTGTAGACTGACAAAAACCCTTGGAGCATCATATTACATTTGATACCAGGCTACACAACACAATAACTCCACAGTTCTCTGTAGGCTGGCCTCTCAGACACACAGATCTCATTATGACCTGCTTTAACCACCAGGGGGACCACTGCAACTTCAGCCATGACATTGAGCTGCCGAAGAAGAAGGAGCTGTGCAAGTTCTACATAACTGGATTCTGTGCCCGGGCCGACCACTGCCCTTACATGCATGATATCCTTTACTAATGACCCCACAGAGAGACTCTATTAGTTTAAGAGAATTCAAATTAAAATAGTCTCTGTTTGAATAGAGGTAATTAAACAGTTTGCATGAATCTTTTTGTGAGTGTTTCCCCTTGACTCCCACGCTACGTGAATTCCCCTGCAAGCTGTTCCACACCACGGGCAACTGCGTCAATGGTGACGAGTGTATGTTCTCACATGAGGCCCTCAATGACGACACTCAGGAGCTGCTCAACAAGGTAGGATCCTGGGACGTCCAGTGGCCTAAAGGTTAAAGTGCATACCACATAACTGTAACGTACAGGGTTTGATTCTCTGCTGTCATATCACTCTCGCTCTGCCCTTTTTTTTTACTGCCTCTCTCTAGACTCACAACTGTCAAAAAAAGGCAAAAAAAAACCCAAAGATAATAGAACTCACTTACCCAGTTGCCAAATCACTCAACCAGTTTCTGTGAACTCTGTAGATATTTAAAAGTGTTTTAAAAAAATATTCATAAGAGTTTTATGTATATAAGTTATTTAAAGAGGTTTGACGTACAGTTTGCAGATCATAAACAGAAACCTTATATAAACATTGGGTTTATGGTTCAAAATATTTCAGATGCACTTATCAGTGGAGTTTTGTGACCTTGTTTTCTAGATGCTGGCAGAGGATGCAGAGGCTGGGGCTGAGGATGAGAAGGAGGTGGAGGAACTAAAGAAGCAGGGGATCAACCCTCTTCCCAAACCCCCTCCTGGAGTTGGCCTCCTCCCCACCCCTCCTCGGCCTGTTCCTGTAGACGCCAACACAGGGGCTGGGGACTTTGGTGGCCCTGTGGCAGGTGACTTTGGGGGTCTTCCTGGACCTAACCAGGGGCCCATTTCCAACAAAGGACCGCCAGGACCAGGGCCTGTTCCTGGGCCTAATCCTTGTGCTGGTCCCCTTGTCCATGGCCCTGATGGAAGTCCCTTCCAAGGCGGGCCCCCAAATCCTAACTGCCCTCCTCCCCACATGGGGCCCCCACCTCCTTGTGCTGGAGGAGGAGGAGGTGCAGGGAAGAAAATCCCCTCGTTGTTTGAGATTAAAGTTCAGCCAACGGGACAGCTGGCTCAGAAACTGGCTGTCAGGTAAGAGTTCAGGAAACAAACATTAAGAATATATATACACACAGTATACACAGTTATAGAAAATGTAGATGGAGATCTTATCCAGTTTGAGATCAAATTAAAAACATTTGTAGATTATTAAAGGAATACTCTGCAGAGTCTCTGTCTTTAGAATATTGAATACTACCTGTAGACTGAAAATGTCGCTCTCGACATTTTCAGGTTGCTCCTTCACTAGAAATAGCTGCTGTATTCAGCATGGATTCACAGCAGCTAAACGGTGCCTCTCAAGCCTACAGGCAATGAGTGTTGTGAAATGATGAAACATTCATTTTAATGTAACCAGCAACTACATGAAAAATGAAAGTTCAAATTCATAGCTCTACTAAAAGATTCTTTAAAGTTTATACAAGGATAATCATAGAGCGCAAAACAGAATTTGTAGTTTTTGTATTGTGATGTAGTGTGATAGCACTAACCCTTCAGTCACCCATGTTAAACATTTTGTTATTATAGACCCCAGAAGATGGGTATGGTTCAGACCACAGACCCCCCATTCAGTTTCTTCTATAGACGCACCACATGTGGGGGATACAGTAACAGCAGGGAGACTACGACCCAATCAGACGCACTAACTGTTTATTTTAACTGAGAAGAATAAACAAATGGAACTTCCTGATTCCCTATTCTCCCTCTTGTATCAGGAGCCAGACTCCCAGCGGCAACCAGGGTCAGACTGCAGCACCTGGACCTCCAGGGGCCCCTGGAGCGACCCCTACCCGCTTCCCTGCCCCTCCAGGCATGATGTCCCCTGACATGCAGAACATGGGCCCCAACCTTGGGATGAACCAGGGGCCGCCCAATATGGGGCCTGGCGGACCACCCATGATGGGAGGATTCGCATCTGGCGACGGACCCCCACATGGAGGTCCTATGCCCCCAGGTCCTAACCAGGGTGGAGGGAACTTCTTCAATAACTTCTTCAATCAACAGGAGGGAATGAACATGGAGGGAGTGGTACAAGAAGGTGAGTGATTCAAACCTAAAACCATGTTAGCTTTGAAGTAATTATTTTGAATGGCACACAGTGTTTTCAGGTGATGGTAGCAAAGTTACTGATTTTGTACTAATCGGTACACTTACTGTTCCCTCTCAGGTGACAACTATCAGGGTTTTGCTGGCATGGACGAGAGAGGAGGAGGAGCAGGGAAATTTGGTAACCAGTCAGGTGGTCAAGACAGCTCTGCTAATGGAGCGTCAGCCAATCAGGGAGGGATTTCTGTTCCTGACTTCCTGCCTCCAGCACAACGTGTCCTGTTCATGAGGATCCAGCAGAAGCAGCAGGAGGAAGAGGAAAGAGCACGCAGGATGGCCGAGGGAGGAGCAGAGAAGACTAGAGACACTGAAGGTAGAGGAAAAGCATCTCTGTGTACAAAGTATTTGTTGTTCCTTTGTCATAGTGAGTCATTTTCCTCATTTGCTTTATGGTTATGTCATTGGCCTTAAAAACTTTCCTCCCTTGGCTAAAACTCTATATTTGGTCTTCAGGAAAGTTGTACAAAAACTTAAAAATACTGCAGATGTAGAACCATGTCTTCACATTTAATGTACACTACTAGTCAGAAGTTTTAGAACACCCATATTTTTTTTATACAGAAGTAAGTGGTAATCTGCCACTGCCTGTTCAGCAAGTAAGAAACTGGTTAACTTAGTTTTCCTTCAGCAGTGGAAGTAAATGAAGTGAAGATGACAGTTAATGCAAACAATTCCTACAGGTTAATGACTTACAAACTGTCGGTACAAAGGCAGAGTTGGGACAAGCTGTGTTCCTACACCCTCTGATGCATTATTAGGACAATACTGTACTGCAGGAAGTAGTTCTGTATGTCGCTGTCAGAACAGTGAGAGAAAGTCGGGTAACAAAGGAAGACAGACTGGTTGGTCAGTGATTCATCCTACAGCACGATAATGACCCAAAACATTAGAGGGAATGAGCTCAACCCTGCGATAGGCTTCACATGACTGTGGTATTGTAAGTGCAGTTAAAGGCCAGTTTTCATATAATGCATTGTGATTATTGTTGGCATTTGTTAAGTTAATGGTCCAGTTCACAGCAATCTTGCACAGATGAGACTATAAGCTCTGATCGCTCTAATCTTTTTAAAGGGCAAAATAAATGTTTCACTGTTATTACTATGTCTATTAGAAGTTTGCACAGTGTGACAGTGATACTGTTCAAACATGTCACACTCTACTGATCACTCTCCCACCTTCCCAACATTCAACACAAACCTCAGATATGACGTGTTTAAAGATTCCTTGAAGGTTAATCACTTTGTGAAGTGTTTGTTTGTTTTTAGTTTTCTAACAAACTGAACTCCAGAGTTAACACCAAAATATGTCTGCTGTCTTTTCCCAGGTGATTCAGGGAACTGGTACTCCAGTGAGGATGAGGACGGCGGTGGTAGTGTGACCTCAATCTTGAAGACACTCCGTCAGCAGACGCAGGCTCCTCAAAAATCTGACGGCCCACCAAGTGACCCTCGCCTGCAGAAGGCCTCCCCCGCCAACCCCCCAGCTCGGCCAGCAGACCCCCGCTTGGCTCGGGACCCACGACTGGCACGTTCTGCAGAGACAGGCCAAATCCCTGACTCCACCCACTCCATGCCTGCTCCATCTTCCTCTGGACCCCCTGCAGACCCCAGGTTAGCCCGACTAGCTGCTTCAGCTGGATCCACCTCCCACTCACCTCCTGCTACTAAACAAGAACCTCCTCTGGTCTACAAGCCCCCGCCACTTACAACCCCAGCAGCGGAAGAGGAGGAGACGGAGCGGGTTCTGCGGGACAAGCCAGTACCGATTCCTCTGGACCCGCTCATGGGCATGGCTCTGAGAGACCCACGCTCTCAGCTGCAGCAATTCAGCCACATCAAGAAGGATATTCTTCTCCACATGCCGGCCTTCTCCAAAACCATCACCTGGTCACCTGAAGATCTCCTTCCACTCCCCATCCCCAAGCAGGACTTCCTGCCCCTCCCACCAGGCATCCCTCCTGTGTCCACTCTAGACCCACGTCTGTCGCGCACTCAGCAGCAGCACCACGCGCCGCTCCCTCACTCACAGCCTCCTCCTGTACAGTCTCCTCCCTCCTTGGACGCACCTGCTCCCTCCTCCTCCAGCTCCTCCCTCCCAGACTTTGAGCTTCTGTCTCGTATCTTGAAAACTGTCAACTCCAGCCCGTCCCAGACACCCTCCCCTCCTCTGTTGCCCACCCCTGCTGCCCCTATGTCACTTCTGGGTCCACCTCCCGCAATGCCTCCTGCACCTACAGAAAAGCCTGCTGACCCCCGGATGGCCCGTAAAGTCCCCACAGACCCCCGTCTCCAGCCACAGAAGTCAGCAATGAAGCAGCCATCAGATCCAGCGCCTCCTCCTGTCCCCTCTACATCTCCAGCAACAACATCTAGCTCCCCCCCACCTACCATCGCCCCTTATGACCCAAGGCTGCTCTCCTCAGGTGGAGCAGGGCGTGGTGTGGGGGCTGGGGCACCAGGGGGAGCCAGTGTGCTGAGCAGCATCAGTCTGTATGACCCTCGGACTAACAAACCAGGCAGCCCTGGTACCAGCGGTGGCTCTAACAACTCCCCCAACTCAGCAAGCACAGAGTCCAAACCCAGTGAACCCACGACGGGTAAAGCCAAGTCCAAGGAGCCCCTGTTTGTCCGGAAGTCTGCGTTGGACCAACCAGAGCCAGAGAAAAGTGGAGAGCAAGGGACCGATCGATACAACAGCTATAACAGGCCCCGACCCAAGCCTGCACCCTCGCCTAACTCCACGGCCCAGGGAGGGCCTGCTGCAGCCGGGGCAGCTGCAGCTGGAGGTCAGGGTGCTCCTGGAGCCGCTCCAGACCAGGGGCCTGCAGGCGTTCACAACCTGCCAGTGTCATCGCTATTTGGCGTGGTGAAGCAGGCGACCAAGCCTGGTGGGACAAGTAGTCCTTTTGGAGGAAACAGCCCGGCGCAGCCTGACCAGGCGGCCACAGAGCAAGACAACGCCTCACTGAAGGACGTTTTCAAAGGCTTTGACCCCACAGCCTCACCCTTCTGCCAGTGACCCACTGACCTGGAACCATACAGCCCTTCATGTGGTTGGCCGTTGGCTTGTTTTAACATTTTTGGACACTGAGCAGATAAGTGAAAAGGAGAGAGAGACGCGCACTGAGGCAACTGCCCGTAAGACTGGTTAAGACAAACTCTGTGAACAAACTGATGCAACGCAACATGTTTTATGCACACACAGACATCCTCTACAGCAGTGTTGCAGATTCAGATTCTATAAAAGACTCTTGGGTTATGGGAAGGGTTTAAAACTAAATCTCAAAATTTCTATTTTAAACAAAGTTATTGATGTATAAATAAATATATTCTCGTCATCTCAGTGCTTAATGAAAAAAGTTATTCAGACAGCAGCAAAAACATATTTGTATCACATTTTGTTTCATTATTTTTTGCATTTCAGATCCTCAGCTCTGTGTTTTTTTTGGAAACCTTCTCATCTATAAACTGTTTGATGTGCTCGTCTATATTTTTGGCCAGTTAAAGTTGGCAGTTCTCTTGGCAACAGAATGGACAATTTTTTTCTCAAATCTTCACAAAAAATATTGCGCATTTGTGATATTTTTGTGATGAAAAACAGCACTGAGGCAACTCCTTTAGCACTGTTGCCGAACCATATTTCCCTCTGTGTCACAGCATTCAAAGTCGTGTTTATTCCTTTTAGAAACTGTCGAGTTTTGTCAAACAAAAGCTTATGTTTTGTCATTGAGCCACTGTGTCACATTTTCTGCAGAAACACTTGCAAATACCCACACTTAAATCTATATTTTGCTTGATTTGTTTTTAGTATTTATTTTTCTACTTCTTTGCACTGTCAATTTGTGTCCTCTGAGGGTTGTTATTAATATGTGGCTCCTCCAGCTGGTTATATACGGTTTCATTTCAGGTATTTAGCTCTTACCCAAAACAGGTAACTCTGCTGTTACAGGAAGTGACCTGTGACCTTTTAGTACCGCCTCTCTACACCACTACACCACTGCTGTTCCTTTTCCCCACTAACTTATATATTCCCTTTAGCGGTCTTGTTGCTAAAAGGAGAAAAGGCTTTCAAGTGAACATTTTGTTTTATCAGTCTGTGAAAGTGGAGAGCGTCCAGTTCATAAGTAACAGCTTCTGTAGCTTTAAGGTATCAGACATTTGCTGCTCCGACTGATTATAAACGCATCACCACGTCCCTCTCCAGTGGCACATTGTAGCTATAGCTGACGGTTAGCCATAGCATCAGTGGTGTTGCAGAGACATTTAACAAGTTTGTGTTTTGTTTTTTTTCTCTGCTGAAAAGACAGTGTTGCCCAAAGGTTCAGTGTGTAATTGGACAGCCCTGGTCAACATCAATCTGTTTTCCCACCGTGATTCACTGATTCAGAATAGAAATCCTACAGGATGTGACTGCAGATTTCTGAGGATGGAAAAAAAATTGCAGCCTTACAGCATCAATTTCCAGTGTAGTGGTTGGTGGCAGTGTGACAATCATAAACTAGACTTGGACCTAATTTCAGTCAATGCATAAATGTTGCATTGATCTGTGCAGGTGCTCCGTCTACTGTCAGTCTGAGCTCTGCGTAAAGAGAACATGAATTGTGTTAAAAAAGAAACATTCAACACAAACTGAACATGTTTCTCTCTCTCACAGTAGAGGAAGTGCACACTTCATGGTGGACATGTTGTTAGGATGAGTTTTTTTTTAAATTTTCTCTCCAGAACATCCCTGACTAGTTTCCACCTTACACCATAAACAGTTGAAGTCAGAAGTGAGTGCAGCATCTGAACCGGGGTGAGGGTGAAGTATTCTTTCCCGTTTTGCCTGATAAGCTAGAGATTTCATCTCCAGGCTTGTTTGAGAATCTTTAAATGTGGGGTCACTATCATGGAGCTGATAAAGGTTTTTGACCTCCAGAAGGTTAAGATTATACAACAGCTGTCAGGTTCATTGTTGGCTCTCTTTGTGTATAAATGTTGATCATTTTAATTTATTTTTTATACTTGGGGTAAATATACTTCCTCACTTGTCATTTTTGAACTGAATCGTTTTATATGTCCTGAATATGAAAGTACCACTCACCTCAGTGGGATGCAGGCAACCTGTGACAGTGTGAAGAGGAGAAAGACATATTTTTTTATTTGGTTTTGTGTAAAAAGACTCAACTAACAAAAGATTCACTATTTGCTCCCTCCTGCCAGGCCTTCAGTAACCCTGTTAGGAGTGTCAGCTATAGCAAGTGTGAAAGTTAATCTTTATTTGTTCCTTTATGGCTTTGTTGTTTTGTAAATTTGTTTCATGGTTTATTTTTCTCTTGCTATGTAAATTTGACCAGTATCCCGTCTTTGGAGGAGTGGAGTTTTCTAACTGTACACTGTAGGTGAGGTTGTCAAAGTATTTAAATAAAGTTGATACATGATCAATTAGTTATAACTCTGTTTTCAGTCATTGTTTTGATTCATTTGACCAATTTATATCTCTCATGGTCGTGAAGCCAAAATGAATAAACATTTCCTTTCCTCTGGCGTCATCCTCAAGCTAGACGTTGCATTTTTGGCTTTGCAGTGATAAAGATCTGAGAACAGCAAAGCTTTCTGATGTGAAACAGGTATTACAGCGTTTGTGTGGTGATAAATTTTAAGTCTGTTGACAGCACGAAGAGCTAAAGATGTAAAAGCTTTCATGTGTCTCCTCGTGACGGAGTAATAAAATCTGTTTCATTTTGTTCCCTTGTCATCTAAAATGCAGTTTGAATGTGATTGTGTAGTGTTCATTTTTCCTGTGTTTTCTGAAGACACCTCTTGCAAAGAAACCCCAAGTGCTTATTTTAAGCAACCAGACGGGTGGGGTTTAGAAAATCAGGACTATTCAGGCACATTGAGGCTGTGGTCGCTGAATTGACCTTTCTTTTGTGCGACTATTTAAATGTTCTTTTCCTTGTTCAGTTGTCCTGCCTTCAGTTAAATCATAAATTATTTAAAAACGCCCTCTGACCCAGAATCTGAAACCCCTTCATTTTTCACAAGCTGGCGTGTTGCTGTCAGCTTCTCTGACATTGTTCCCTGCTATCTTTAGGACTCCGGTGTTTGAAGCTGTGTGGCTCTGGGTTTGGCCTCTGTGGCTTTGGATCGGCACCCCAGCAGCACGCAGTTTGTTTCCTTGTTAGCTACGATCCTCCAGTGAGTCACTTCCTGCTCCCCTCCCATCCTGCAGCACTGGCTCCAGGAAGACAAACTATTCATCCAGTACCTCAAAGGTTTCCTATCACACACACACACACGCGCACACACACGCGCGCGCACACACACACACACACACTCGCACTTAGCTGCTGATTGTTGGGTACACCTATCTAGCTGCATGTTGCACCTCTTGCCCGTCAGAGCAGCTGTTATTCATCATGGATTTGAACATTCTGGATGTATTGTGCACGATCCAGTGAATTTGGAGACAATGCAGACCATGGAGATAATGAAAAGCCACTGAGTATTCGTTGATGATGCAAAGATCAAGCATCATTCCACATACACAGTTACTACCATCACTCATTTTGCCTGTCTCAGCTGAATACCAAACACCACAGTAGCGTGATTCACATTAAAACTTGTTGAATGTAGAATTTGTCTGAATGTGCTTGTGTGCCTTTATAAAGAGGAAACTCACTGCAACCTGCAAGTCAGCTCAGAAAAAGTGTGATGCAAGCTGGGCAGGTCTTACCATGTTCCGTATAAACGCTGCTGTATGAATCATTTTCTTTCCCACAGCCGTTCGCTGAGACTCACAGACACACACGAATCCTGGAGACGGCTGTAATTTAGCCAGGTGGATTCCTGTACTGTGCAACCATAATATCTGTGGGGGTGTGTCACATGAGCAATAGTTTTGCTTCGACTTGAAGGTTTCATACAGACAGCATCAGAGCAGAAAATGACTGCATATCAGTGCTTGAAGAGCCAAATGGCTGGAAAGCAAATTTGATGAGAGTCAGACATTAAACAGTTGAAAAGTTGAACAAGTCTTGACTGATTTTGGGCAGATTTGTTTTGTTTTTTTCCCAAATAGTCTATTAATTTGAAGCTTATCTAGCAAAGTTTCAGGAGCAGGACCACACCTCAACCCCCCCTCTTCCAGCAATCCCATATATACCTAACGCACCCTCTACTCCTCTTTCGCTCTCATATTCTGCACCCCTCCCCCCATCCCATTTTCCTGGTTTCCTCTCCTTCACTCTCTCGTAAGGACTGTGTGTGTGTGTGTGTGTGTGTGTGTGTGTGTGTGTGGGTGCCGGGTGCACGACAAATTCCCCATGAAGCCTTCCCACACCGCATCCAGAAAACAAGCAAGAAACCTGAAGATCAACCTCATAAAATCATTCAGTATATCATTCAAACGTACCTTGTTGATGATGTGGTCCTTGCTAGTGAAGTTCGAAATTAAAATCATTAAGAACATGTTCAAAATACACTACATAGCCCAAGTGTATAGACACACATCATATGTGTATCATCATTTATACCTACACACACTCAGTATGCATAGTCACATGTACATACACCTATTCATACATATACTAGCACATATTAACCGTGCAGCCACAATAAAAATCTTTTAACAGCGATTAAACTATCATATTATTATTCTTTATGCAGATGTAATGATTAATGATTTCTCTAAGAAGTTTTTGGTTCACTTTACAGCATGCTAAACTATGATATTAATTTTGATTGAAGTGGCCCAATAAATGACACAAGCAGTATTTTGAAATGCTGTTTGTAAAATTCAAACTTTAATAAAAATGTTCCCTCATTTTCATTATTATATGAAATATTAGTGTTATAAACAAATAAAAAAAATGAGAGACCTGTAAACTTCTGTTGGCCATCACCTTGTATTGATAGTGAAATCTGCTGGATTGCTGTACATTATAAAACAAACAGAGCAAGTTGTAGCTTGTTGCATCTCTGTCTCCACTCATTTCCTGTCATCTCCCTACTGTCGTCAGTCCCGTGAAGGAATACAATGGTCAAAAAATACCCATAGGAAATTTGACACTGAACAGTTTGTGCTTGTACAGTCAATGTGGAGAAATGATTACCAGCCACAACTGTATGTGTGAGTATGTGTGTGTGTGTGTGTGTGTGTGTCATCATGACAAAACACGGTCCTGGAGTCACCTACTGTAGAAGGAACTGCCACAGGGCAGTTTTGAGTACTGTGTCTGTCTGTGAATGGACAGATTTTGTCAACACATTGATGTCACAAGATACAGTCATGTAAGTTTACAGGTGTGTAGTTGAGATCAAAATAAAGGCCAAGTCCGAAGATGGGTGTGGTCTGAATAGTCATGTACTAATGTAGTAATAACTACTGAGTACTCATGGGTACTCATGGGATCAACATGTTGGCGGGTGTTGCAGCCGGTCCCATCACAAGATGGTGTCTAGTTATAAAATGATACTGGGCCCATCTTTTCTGTTTTCCTGCAGTGTTTCACCTCTGGTGCTTTCTGGGAGTTCAACACTGACGAGTTGTGTTCATTGTATCTTTTATCAGTAATCTGCTTAGCTCTCCTTTCAGGGAGGCTAACTGTGGTAAGTGTATAAATAGATCTGATCCTCTTAGAGGATGACTTGGGATGGGATTTGGAGACTGACAGCCGTTTCAGCTGCAGTGCTGGTTCTGCACTTGTGGGGGCGCTGTGTGTGTGAATGCCAATGTTCATGGCTGGGATGACCGTTCAGTCTCCATTCAAAAGATATGTGTTGTCTCTCTCTGCTTGTTTATGTCTGTCTCGTTATCCCGGGAGTCACTGCTCCATAAATGTCATAATACTGCAAAAAGTTCCCACATGCTGCGATTAACAGAGCGGAGGTCACTGCAGATTTATTCCACCCAGAGGGCCGGCAATTACTATAAAGTCCCTCTTTGTACAAAAGCAATTAAACGGCATTTAACAACAGCACGGCTTGTGCTGTCATCTGCGTCAAACACAAAATAAAAGTAAAGAACACATTGTTTTCCTGTGATAGTTTTCTCTCCAGTCTGGGAGCCTGTGTGTCTCTGTGAGCAGCCTGTTGTGAGCTGCTCCAAATAACAGCATCTGTTAAAGGCCAAAAATGTACAAATGTAAATTCCTGCCTCTGATTCCCTCTCTGCCTTATTATGTTGGGAGATAGTCCAGTGGAAAAGCTGTGAATTCACTACAACATAACTGATAGACCAGTGCCTCTCAAACTTTTTCTGGCATGCCCCCCTTCAAAACCTGAAAAGAAGTTCACTCCCCTCCCCCAACCCACAATTAGTATCATTCATTAGTAATGACAGAAGAAGAAACGAATAAAAAAGAAATGCATGTTGAAATTTCAGGTCAGCTCAATAGCATCAGCAAACTCTTGTCTTTTTTTATTATTTTCCCTACATAAAAATAAATCATTCAACTTTTTCACTCCACATTTTTACCCTGGTCATCCAAGCCCCCCCTGCAGTGGCTCTATGTCTCCCCGAGGTGCATATTGACATTGTGTCAACTCTGTAATCTGTTTTATCGTCCTGTTAGGAGACGAGGACTGTGTGTGCTGGACCTCGCACTGCAGCAGATAACACTCCACATACGCCACCATCACTGTGACTTGACTGTTGTGATATCAGTAGGACATACATGTTACTGAGATGATTGAGATGACCTCAAATGTCAGCTGTTGTGTCTACAACTAATATAATTACTATAATAAATGACATTACTTTAAAACATATATCCAGTCTTAAATGAACACTGGACAAACTAGATCTTAATGATCAAACGGTCAGTCTGACAGGAACATGATATATCAAGAGTTGAATGCTGAGTTACATGTTCCTATTAGAGTTGAAAGAGTTAAAGGCACCAGCCATAATCCAAATATACACACAGAAAGGTCTCGACCAAAAAACACACACGATTGGAGCCAGTGAAATATCGAAGTTGATTGACAGATCTGTAATAAATTGAAATTTGTTTCAGTAGAACAGTTTCATATTCTCAACTGAGCATTATCCAGTTACACAAAATGTTCTCCCTATAACCTGAACTCTTCATTAGTTAATGTACCTCAAATTTATGTGATTAAGAAAGTATGTTTTAAACAGCAGTAAAATTAAACCTTTCTTATACTTATATGAGTATCACTCTGACCAGACACAATATTTCATCATCCTTAGATCTGATGACACTCTTCTTAACCCAGTTCAGTTCATAAAAAATAAACTCCACCCATACTAATATTTGGGCTTTGTTTGTTGACTGTGATGTAACTGGTAACGGTCAGAGAGCCTGGAGGAGAGCCAGGATTGTGCAGCTGCAGTCTTCAGATCAGTGGACACAACAAACTTTCCAGGTGTGATGCAGAAAATGTATTTCCAACTGAATGCAATACTAATGTTATATTCA